GGAAGACCCCCCCCTCCCTCTTTCTCTCTGTAACTCTGCCTTTCAAATAAATAAATGAATCTAAAAAATAAATATTGGGGCCGGCGCTGTGGCACAGTGGGTTAACGCTCTGGCCTGGAGTGCTGGCATCCCATATGGTCATTGGTTTAAGACCTGGCTGCTCCATTTCCGATCCAGCTCTCTGCTGTGGCCTGGGAAATCATTAGAAGATGGCCTAAGTCCTTGGGCCCCTACACCCGCGTGGAAGACCTGGAGGAAGCTTCTGGCTCCTGGCTTCGGATCGGCACAGTTATGGCCATTGCAGCAAGTTGGGGAGTGAACTAGCGGATGGAAGACCTCTCTCTCTCTCTGCCTCTCCTCTCTCTGCCTCTCCTCTCTCTGTGTAACTCTGACTTTCAAATAATAAATCTTTAAAAAATAAATAAATACATAAATACAAATAAAAAAGAAAAATACTGTTTTCACCTTTTTTTGTTGTTATTGTTGTTGATGCCTTCTTCAAAGGGCATTGAGATAGGCAGCCTCTGAAATGACCCCATGACCCCTGCCTCTCAGTATTCATTTCCTTGTACAGTCTGTCCCACATGGAACAGGGCTGGCTTGTGCAACCAATAAGGTGTGAAGAAATGAAGAGTGTGACTTCGCAGTTTAGGTCAAAGAAGGAACTGAAAATTCAAAATGGAATATTTATATTTTTAAAGATTTATTTATTTTTATTTGAAAGTCAGAGTTACACAGAGGAGAGGCAGAGAGAGAGAGAGAGAGAGAGAGAGAGAGAGAGAAAGAGAGTTCTTCCATCTGATAGTTCACTCCCCAATTGGCCGCAATGGCCAGAGCTACGCCGATCTGAAGCCAGGAGCCAAGAACTTCAGGGTCTCCCACGTGGGTGCAGGAGCCCAAGGACCTGGGCCATCTTCTACTGCTTTCCATAGCAGTGAGCTAGATTGGAAGAGGAGAAGCTGGGACTAGAACCTGCACCCATATGGGATGCCGGCGCTTCAGGCCAGGGCATTAACTCACTGCGCCACAGTGCTGGCCCCCAAAATGGAATATTTTATCACAAAAATAAAAAATGAAAAGGACGCTGCAACCAAATTAAGTTTCTGAGTGACTTGTTAGCCAAGCAAGGAAAGCCATTGACTCCTGGGAGTGGATCAAATCATATTTGATTTCATCAGCCAAAGAAATATATCCGAAGAAAATCAACTTGCTTCAGAGTATTAGCCTCTTGGTTAGAACAATTCCTTAGCATTGAGGAACATCAGTAATTAATTCAAAAAACAAAGCAAGTGGTTTTGAATGATTGTTTTTTTTTAAAGATTTATTTATTTATTTATTCGAAAGTCAGAGTCACACAGAGAGAGGAGAGGCAGAGAGAGAGGTCTTCCATCTGATGGTTCACTCCCCAATTGGCCACAATGGCCAGAACTGCGCCGATCTGAAGCCCAGGAGCCAGGAGCTTCTTCCAGGTCTTTCACGTGGATGCAGGGGCCCAAGGACTTGGGCCATCTTCTACTGCTTTCCCAGGCCACAACAGAGAGTTGGATTGAAAGTGGAGCAGCTGGGACTAGAACCAGCGCCCATATGGGATGCCGGCGCCTCATGCCAGGGCATTAACCCACTGCGCCACAGCGCCGCCTCCTTGAATGATTGTTCTCTGACTGGTTTTTATTAATAATTTCTTCCTTCCTTTCTTCCTTCCTTCCTTCCTTCCTTCCTCCCTCCCTCCCTCCCTTCCTTCCTTCCTTCCTTTCTTCCTTTCTTTCTTTCTTTTTTTTTCCACAGGCAGAGTTAGAGAGACAGAGAGAAAGGTCTTCCTTCCAAAGGTTCACCCCCTAAATGGCCGCTACGGCCGGCGTGCTGTGCTGATCTGAAGCCAGGAGCCAAGTGCTTCCTCCTGGTCTCCCATGCGGGTGCAGGGCCCAAGCACTTGGGCCATCCTCCACTGCCCTCCTGGGCCACAGCAGAGAGCTGGACTGGAAGAGGAGCAACCGGGACAGAACCGGTGCCCCGACCGGACTAGAACCTGGGGTGCCGGCGCCACAGGCGGAGGATTAGCCTAGTGAGCCGCAGCACTGGCCTATTTTTAAAAGATTTTATTTATTTATTTGAGAGGTAGAGTTACAGACAGAGAGGGAGAGACAGAGACAAAGATCTTCCATCTGCTGGTTCACTCCCCTAATCTCCACAACAGCAAAAGCTGGGCTGATCTGAAGCCAGGAGCCAGGAGCTTCCTCCGGATCTCCCACACAGGTGCAAGGGGCCCAAGGACTTGAGCCATCCTCCACTGCTTTCCCAGGCCATAGCAAAGAGCTGGATTGGAAGAGGAGCAGCTAGGACTAGAACCGGCTCCCACATGGGATGTCAGCGCTTGTCGCAGGCAGAGGCTTAACTTACTATGCCTCGGCACCAGTCCAGTAATACTTTCTTGCCACAGGTAACTAACATAGTATACAATTCACCCATTTAAAATGTACTATTCAGAACTGTGCAGCCATCACTAGAATAAATTTTGGAACATTCTCATCACCCCAGAAAGAAATCCTATTAGGAATCATTACCCATCCCCTGCTCTCCCCTTGACCACAAGCAAACAGCCATAGACTACACTAATCTGTCTTCTGTCTCTATAGATTTGTGTGTTGGGAACATTTCATAGAAATGGAATCATAAAACAAATTTTCCCTTGTGACTGACTCATTCAGTGTAATGTTTTCAAAGTTTGTTCATGTTGTGACTTGTATTAGTATTTCTTTTTATTGCCAAACATATTCCATTATGCATACATACTAATTGTGTTTATCCATTCATCATTTGAAGAACATTTAAGTTGTTTTCTACTTTTTGGCTCTTATAAATAATGTTTCCATGAATATTCATGTACAGGTTTTGTGTAGAAATGTGTTTTGAATTCTCTTGGGTATCCATGTATGAGTGGAATTTCTGGGTCATTTGGCAACCATGTGGAACCTTTTGATTAATTGACAGACTGCTTTCCAAAGCAGCTGTTCTATTTTACACACTCCCTAGTAATCTGTAAGTATTCCAGTTTCTCCACGCCTTACTAATACTGTCATTTTCCATTACAGCCATCTTAAGGGTTGTGAAGTGGCATCTCACTGTTTTGATTTGCATTTTCTTGATGTTTAATGATGTTGATCATTTTCTTAGTGCTCTTCGGTCTTTTGTACATCTTCTTTGGAGAAATCCCTACTGAAATTCTCTGCTCAGTTAAAAAAAAAAAAACTGGGATTATCTATTGTCTATTTTCTTGACTGTGTCCCTTGAAGTACAAAAGTTTTTAATTTTTTAAAAAATATTTATTTTATTTATTTGAAAGATGGGTTGACAGGGAAGGAGTGTCACAGAGAGCGATCCGTCTGCTGGTTCACTCCCCCAATAGCCACAACAGTCGGATCTGGGCCAGGATGAAGCCACGAGCCAGGAACCAGGAGCACCATGTTGATCTCCCACATGGTGGCACGGGGTCAAGTACTTGGGCCGTCTTCTGCTGCCTTCTCGGGCACATTAGCAGGGAGCTGGGGGGCCTGAAAGGTGCTAGGCTGACACAAAAACACCAAACACCGGAGTAAGGGAGTTTATTGGGGAAAACCCAGCAGACTGGAGGGGTGGGATGAAGAAGGGATAGAGGGAGAGAAGGAGAGTGTAAGAGAAAGACAGAGAGGAGAGGAGCTAGTGAGGAGAGAAGAGAGAAAAGATCGAAGAGAGAGTGAGCAGGAGGGAAGAGAGAAGCCAAGAGAGAAGAGAAGGCTAGAGCCACGTGTTCAGGAACAGGTCCTTTTAAAACTTTGCCGGAGGGCGGGCAGGGAAGCAAGAGCAGTGAATCCCATTAGGATGGGGGTGGAGCTTGACACTGGTGGATCGGCCATGTGGCTACCTGGCTTTCAGCAATGGCGGTGGGGGCTAGAGCCTAGGATGTAAATCAGGGTGTAGATCGCGCCATAGATAAAACTGTGTAACTCTGACTTTCAAATAAATAAATAAATTTTTAAAATTAAAAAAAAAAGAAAGATAATCATGGCCAAGAGCAGAGAATTTCAGTAGTTAGTAAGGCGTGGAGAAACTGGAATACTTACAGATTACTAGGCCTCCAGCCCTCAGCTGGAGGTTACTGCTTTTGATTTGTAACAATATGCTTAAAAACATCAAGAGAAGAATCTAACTGAATTTTGGAAATGTCTTCCAGGCAATGAATAGTCTCAGTTAAGATCACTTGCCAGTGGACTGATTACCAGTATTTGGCAGTACCTTTCTGTGTTTGCAGGGGGCTGGTGCTGTGGTGTGATGAGTTAAGCCACTGACTGCAGCATCCCATATGGGCACCAGTTACTGTCCTAGCTGCTCCATTTCCGATCCAGCTCCCTGCTAATGTGCCTGGGAAAGCAGCATAGGATGGCCCACATGCTTGGGCCCCTGCACCCACGTGGGAGACCTGGAGGAAGCTCCTGGCTCCTGGCTTCAACCTGGCCCAGCAGTGGTCATTGTGACCATCTGAGGATTGACCCAGTAGATGGAAGATCTCTGTTTCTCCTTCTCTCTCTCTGTAACTCTACCTTTCAAATAAATAAATATATCTTAAAGACAGCAAAATATATTTTCAAAAGTGAATTACAAGTAATCTTATTACAGATTAGCATTAACAGAAGAATATCTGAAATCGTTTCAAAACTTTTTAAAGATATATTTACTTATTTGAAAAGCAGAGTCAAAAGAGGGAAAGGGAGAGACAGAGAGATCTTCCATCTGCTGGTTTACTCCCCAGATGGCCACAACAGCCAGTGCTGGTCCAGGCAGAAGCCAGTAGCCAGGAGCTTCTTCCAGATCTTCCATACGGCTAGGAAGGGCCCAAGCACTTGGGCATTTTCTGCTGCTTTTTCCTGGGTCATTAGCAGGGAGGAGGCTCAGAGTAGAGCAGCTAGGACATGAATCGGCACCTATATGGGATGGCTGCATTGCAGGCTTTACCTGCCACATGCAAGATTTTAATAGTTTTTTTTTTTTTTTTTTTTTAACTTGAGAAGCAAAGAGAGAACTCCCATCTGTTGGTTCACTCCTCAAATGCCTGAAATGGCCAAGACTGGGCTAAAGTGGAAGTGGGGATCCAAAAATTCAATATAGTTCTCCCAAGTAGGCAGCAGCACCCTCCCAGAGTCTGCAATACCAGCAAGCTGGAGTCAAAGGCCAGAGTGGGCATCGGGGCATGAACTAGTAGCTAGGAGCTTTGTGTGTCTTTGTGTCTGTCTATATTTCTCTTTCTCTTAAATAATCATTGTTAAAAAGCTCCCTCAAAGATGTTCATGTGTTAATCCCTGAACCCTGCGAATATATGCTATTTTACATGGCAGAGCAGAATTAAGGTGACAGATGGAATTAAGGTTATTTATTCATTTGATCTTAAAATAGGGAGATTAAATTCTTGATTATCTAAGTTGGCCCAAAGTTATCAGAAGTGTCCTTAAAGTTTATGTTTTTATATAATATATATGAGGGTATTTCAAAAAATTCATGGAAAATGTAATTAAAAGATAAATTCCGGGTTGGGCATTTGGCACATTGGTGAACTTACCACATAAGGATGCCCAGATTTCAAACTGGAAATATGGCTTGAGTCCTGGCTCCTGTGCTTCCCACCCAGCTTTCTGCTAATGTGCACCCTGGAACACCACAGATAATAGTTCAAGTACTTGGGATCCTTTTACCCGTGTGGGAGACCCTGGTTGAAGTTTTGGCTTCTAGCTTCTGGCTTTGGTCTGGCCTAGCCCTCGCTGTTGCAGGCATTTGGGGAGTGAACCAGTAGAGGGGATTCCTCTCTTTGTCCATCTCTTCCAAATAAAAAAAAAGAAAGAAAATCATAAAAAATAAGATAAAATTTCAGTTTAGTCGGCCATAGCGGCCACTTGGGGGTGAACCAACAGAAAAAGGAAGACCTTTCTCTCTGTCTCTCTCTCTCTCTAACTCTGCCTAAAAAAAAAAAAAAAAAAAAAAAAAAAAAAATTCAGTTTAGGGGTGGGTGTTTCAACTAGCAGTTAAGATGCTGGTTAGGATGCCCACATTGAAAACGGGAGTGCCTGGGTGATAAATATGTTCTGTATCTTGGTTATGGTAGTGGTTATACAACTTTATGCTTGTCAGAAATCACAGAACTGTACATGCAAAAGGGTGATTTTCACTATAGTAAATTATATCGCTTAATTGTAAACAATACTTTCCTCAGAACTGCTACTCTAACAATAAACTATTAAAATCTTGCATGTTAATGAGACAATCTTTTTTTTCTCTTAAAAATAATATGCTGTTTTATGGTAGGTATTTCCTGCTGTTTCTGTATTATGCAATAATCTTACATTGTTCTGAACATGAAGTTAGAAAAAAAAATCTGTATTACATGGAAGCATCTGGCTAAATAAAAATGATGGAATAATAAAATGTTAAAAATTGGAAGTAAATTTAGATTTTTTTCCTCTCATTTGCTGAAAGAGTAGGAAATTCTTTTGTCTGTGTCACCAAGGCAAGATTCACTGAAGTGAGAAAACTCCTGTCACATCAGTCGAGCAGGGCTGCAAGGGAGGAGTTACCTGGTGAAGCCTTTGGGTACTGGCTCTTTTATGCACAAAAGTGACTATCTAGATTTAACAAATCAGGGGAGTAGAATAACAGCTACCAACCAATCAAATAGGTATAATGACAACCAATTAGGAGACTGGAATAACAACCAATCAGAGGACTAGGATAACAACCAATGTGGGGGTGGGGGGGGGCCAGCACTGTAGCAAAGCAGCTAAAGCTGTCACCTGCAGTGCTAGCCTAGCATCCCATATGGGCTCCAAGTACCGGCTACCACACTTCCAATCCAGCTCTCTAGTGTGGCCTGGGAAAGCAGTGGAAGATGGCCCAAGTCCCTGGGCCCCTGCACCCTCATGGGAGACCTGGAAGAAGCTCCTGGCTCTGGATTGGCGCAGTTCCGGCTGTTGTGGCCATTTGGGAGTTAACTACCAAGATGAAGGACCTGTCTCTATCTCTCTGCCTCTGCCTCTCAGAACTCTGCCTTCCAAATAAATAAATAAGTCTTAAAAAAAAAAAGAAGAAGAAGAACCAGAAGCAGGGATAAAAACCCTTAGAGGAATGGAATTGGTAATTCTATCTAGCCTATTGTCATGATTAAACGAAGGGTTGCTAAAGGCAGCCTGGGGGGTGGGGATGGGAAGCAAACACTTTGTTTAAAGCAGGAACATCTTATTTGCAGGAGAATGCTAAAGAAAAGTCCACATTCACCATACTTTCTCTCCTTCGATTTTTAAAGAAGGTCTCATTTGTACTGAAAAATTATCACAATCCTTTATGGAACAAAAAGCATAGTATTGTTTGGGTTCATCAAATAAAGTTCCAAAAGAAGCAAAGACACTTTATTAGAAGTCTTTAAAATATTTTTTCAATATGCATTTTAATAATCATTTACTTAAATTTATTATTGTGCAAAATGACAAATATTCTTTCCTTTTCCTATTTTCCTCCCACACCTTAAACAATATGGTAAATATTAAGCTTAATTCTAAAGAAAGCAAATGAAACTGGCAGTACTTCAATGTAATTTGGCAGTATCTATTGAAATTAAAAATATCTTTTGATGTAAGGATTCCAGTCTAATTATGAGGTAGGCACAATTGCCCAATGTATTGGATATTTCATGGCAGCTAAACTAAATACCCACCTGCAGCACACAATGGAATATTATATAGCTTCTAAGAAGAAAGAGACAGTTTTTTATTTACTAACATAGAAGGACACTCAAAATATTTTTAGCAATAAAACGAAGGACTGAACAGTGCCATGTAGCAATTGTGTAAAAATAACTATCAGGGCTGGCGCTGTGGCATAACAATACTGCTGCCTGCAGTGTTGGCATCGCATATAGGCGCTGGTTCTAGACCTGGCTGCTCCACCTCCCATCCAGCTTTCTGCTATGGCCTGCGAAAGCAGTGGAGGATGGCCTAAATCCTTGGGCCCCTGTACCCACGTGAGAGACCCAGAAGAATCAGAAGAATCATCCTGGCTCCTGGCTTTGGATCGGCTCAGCTCTGGCCATTAGGCCCATCTAGGGAATGAACCAGTGAATGGAGAACCTCTCTCTCTCTCTCTCTCTCTCTCTCTGCCTCCACCTCTAACTCTGCTTTTCAAATAAATCAATCGTAAAAAAAAACCTATCCCTGTATTTATATATATATATATATTTAAAACATATATATGGGAGGATCCATTAGAAAACACTAAATGGTTCCCTCCAAGATGAGTAGTTGAAAAGCAGGGATGCAGAAGCAATTATTTCTCATTCTATTAGGTCATGTTTTGAGTTTTGCATTAGCAAAATTCTTAATTTATACAGATAAAAATTTATGAAGATTAGATAAAGAGTGAGGCTTCAAAGAAATAGTAGGTGTTCTGTTAGAATTTTTTTTTTAATTTATTTATTTGAAAGGCAGAGTTAAAGAGAGAGAAAAAGAGAGACTCCTAGAGAAATCTTCCTTTTGCTGGTTCAATCCCCAAATGGCCACGACTGGGTCAGGCTGAAGCCAAGGAGCCAGGTGCTTCTTCCAGGACTCCCACCTGGGTACAGGGGCCCAAGGGCCTAGGCCATCTTCAACTGCTTTCCCGGGCACCTTAGCAGGGAGCTGGATAGGAAGTGGAGCAGCTGGGATGCCAACCAGCATCCATACGGGATGCTGGTGCTGCAGGCCTTGGCTTTACCTAATGGTACAATGCCAGCCCCCCGTTAGAAATTTTAAAACCAAAATTATTATATTTCTATTGGTGCTAGTGGATTACCAGCCTTGGGGGCTGATAAAAGCATGCGATTATGCACATTTCTTATATTACTTCATGACAATCCTCCCAAACCTTCGGATTTCATGAAAAACAATCTTTAAAACGGGTCCTTCAAAATAGGAAGGCTTAAAACACACACACATACTTCATGAGCCTCCCTCAAATAAAGAAAACAAGTAAGAGCCATGAGTTGACAAAGTGCTTTTCAAAGGATGGACAAGAGGTAGTCTCTCTGGACGGGCGACGCGCTGGGCTGAGACCCTGTGACCATCCTGAGAGGTCTCCTAACTCTGCCGTAAGTCTCGGTTCAATTCTGGGCGAGGAAAGACATGCAGCAAAGGGTTGAGAGTGACGTTCTAAAAAACCACTCGTGGAAGGAAGTGCTGAGCTGACAAGCAGGAGAAGAAAGGCGGCCAGCCTGGCTGCGTTGGAGCCGCTCCAGCGCGGTCTGCGCCGCCTCCCGCACAATTCCCTGTCCCTTGTGCTTTCCGCGGGACCTGCTCTGGATTCGAGGCCGGACGGCCGGGAAGCCGGGTCCACAGGGCTTCAGCTTGAGCCAGACCCTACCGAGGGGCGGCGGCCTGGGCCCCTCACCTCAGCCCAGAACCTGTCGATCCGGCTCGGCCCGCCTCGCCCTTCCGAACCTCACTAGCGGGCTACGCGCGGGAGGGCGTGCGCGCCCGGACTTGCAGGCCCGGTCCTGCCTGGCCAGCCCTGCCCGGCGCGACCGCCGTGCCCAGGGGCTCGGGTCTGAACCACCTGGGCGGGCCCTCGGCCGGCCTCGGGTCTCCGGAGCCGACAGCCTGGCACGTCAGCACCGCCGGGCGTCGGCTCCCAGCGCCGCAGGCCCGCAGCCCCCTAACTCTGCCGGCGGGGCGGGGCGCGGAGGCGTCACGTGACGCCCCGCACCCGCCCGGCCCCGGTCACATGGGTGGCACGGCCGCTGCGTCAGTCACAGCCCTGGCTGCGGGAGACGAGCCGCCGCCGCCGCCGCCGCCGCCGCCAGCGGACGGGGCGGGGATCGCGGTGCCAGGTCCTCGTCCGGCCGCCCCCGCCGCCTCAAACAGCAGCTCCCGGCTGGGCCCGACCGTCATGGAGCGGGGCGGGACCTCGGCCTCTGCCGACTGAGGTGCGCCGCTGCCGCCGCCGCCGCCGTCGCCTCAGCCGCCTCAGCCTTCCGAGGCCTCCGGAACCCCCGTCGCCGCGCCGAGCCCCTCGCCCTTGGCAGCCTGTCGCCGCCCCCTGGGCGGGCCCGAATGCGCGTCCGGTGAAGGTGCAGGCCCGGCGCCGCCGCTGCCGCTGCCGCTGCCGCAGCCGGGAGATGGTTCGGGCCTAGCGGAGCCGAGACTGGAGGTGAGGAGGGAGCGCCGGCGGCGCGGGGGAGGGGCCGGGGCGCGGGGCTCCCCCGGGCCGGGGCCGCCGCGCACGGCTTCGGCCCTCGTCTTCGCGTCCCGGCTGCCAGCCAGATGAGAACACAAACCAGTGAGAGAGAGAGAAAGGCCGACCCCGTCCTACCCAGCATTCCCAGAAACGCATCTTTGCGCCGCTTCGCCCTTCCTCCCTCGGCGCTGGATCCACTCCGTACCTCAGACAGGCCAGCGGCTGGTCTGTCAGTTTGTCAGTTTGCGCTGCCCTCCTCTGTTATGTTATGTCCAGGGAAAGAGAAAATAGGCCCAGATTCTGGCTATCAAGACCCAACTAGTTCTCGCCTGCCTTCTCGCGATTCTGCGCGCCTCCCTCTTTCCCCCTCTGCAAGAGAAAAAAGCGGGGGGGGGGGCGGATTTCCGCCTTTAACTGGCGAAGGGGGGTGACTGAAAATGGGGACGTGGGGGTGCAGAGCTCGACGACCCCCGCAGCCTGCGCGCGGCCGGGGCCCCGCTCGGCCCCCTGGCTGCCTTTGGATCGGGCTGTCGCGGCCTTGCCTCCAGCTGCCCGAGCTCGGGGTTAATCTCGTAATTGACGTCAGTGCTTTGTTCCTTCCCCTCTTTGAGGATGGATCCTGGGGTGTAGGAGTTTGGGGGACGTCCCTTACTGCCTTTTCATTCACAGACGGCATCATCTATTGGGAGTTGAGAGAACAAATGCGAAATGGTTGTGTATGGAGTTCAGACTAGGGCCGGGAGTTCTATTTAGCGTTCTCAGAGTTGGCTCAGTTGCAATTCAGAATTGTGAGGGTTTTTTTTTTTTCTTCTTCTTCTTCTTTCCCCCGGCCAACCTTAGGGAGATTTTTAAACTAAGGCCCGTGCCTTTTCCAGTGACCAGTGTTGTTCTTGATGGAACCTAAGCTGTAGGTGACTAGGCTGTTTGTAAATGTGACGTTTGAAATGTGTGCTGTTTTTTTTAGGGCTCAGAAGCCGAAAGCTGCAAGCTTTGTTTCTGTGTTGATTCTGCAAAGCTTTGTAAAGTGCTTCGTTTATTTAACTGTCCTTTAACCTATCGAAATGGAAACGTTTATGAGAACTTTGTTAATTTGGGATTTGATAAGGGGCCTTTGTGGCTGTGGGTCTGCCTGAAATCATCTTTGGTCATATATGCATAAAGAAGTGTTGGCAAGTGGCCACTTGGTTTTCAACAAAGCTGGCTTCTTTAAAACTCTCAGGTTTATTTTCCTTATTTATCACTGCATCTTTCAGTCTAGACATGAGAAAAAAAATCTCAAGAAGTTATTTTTAATTATATTTTTGAGTTAGCTTACCAGTTTTTTTTTACACCAGAAGTTTCATTTCGTTTCCAGTGGTTTGCAGACTTAGGACTTTAATTTTTGTTGGCTCTCTAGCAGTAGGCAAATTTTACTTGTAAGTAAAAATTTGCTTCACAGGGGAACAAGGTTGGAAAATCTGTTTGATTAGCTGTGTTAATTGGAACGTGGTCCACAATCTTGGGGTGTAAAGGTGATTGCAGTGCTTTGCTGAAGCTGTGTAGTTAAGAATTCGTAAAGACAGAATATTTTTGTTCCAGTTCACTCTCTGCTTGTCAGAGTCTCACATTCAGAGTCATACGTTATCTTCTCTGTTTTTGACTTACTCAAACAGCTGATATATTCTGCTGTGAATGTAGTTTTCTTGTAGTCTTTTATAATGTGTTTAGGGTGAGTACAGTATTAATTTTTCTATTTATCCTCCCCAATATTATATACAATTATTAGATTAATTTGAATGTGGTACTATTTTGAATTTGAAGCTACAGTTGTATTAAGTTACCCAATCTGAGATTCACAGTCAGGGTAGTGTAGGTTAAGAAAGCTATATGAGGAAGTGATTGGCATTTGAAGGGGAAGAGTGTCAGCTTCAGAATATGCAGGCTTCCAAAAGTTATGGATCTTAGCTTTTTTGAGGAGGTAAGGCGAATGTCAAGGTTTTATGTGTACTACCTGACAGGAACAAAGAAAACAGGTATTTCTTCTTTTGTGGCCATCTACTGGTTTAGAATGGAGTCCAAAATGAATGAGGCCTCCCTTTTCTTTGTAGTATTTCCCATACAATCAGAGAAGCGTTCTGAAGTATTGAGAGCACACCTGAGCAGTAACTAAGAAGTGCAGTGTAGTGTATTTCAAAAATTGATGAGTTAGATTTTATTTTTTAAGTCAGCCCTATTCTAAGGGTATCTTCTGTGACAACTTTTCTGTGTACTATAAAGGGTTTCTAGCTTCTCCCCACTACTCATTATGTTTTACTCATTTTCTTTTTCTCTGATAATTTGGAATGATTCTATTTGATTTCTGGGAGGGTGTTGGCCAGCCTCAGTTATTGTGAAATAAGATGTAGTTAGTGAGTAAAGACTGCTTAAGGCTAACGTGACCTATTCCCTTGGTGATTTTTCCTTTGGTTTAAGGGAAGCACCCCCACTCCCTACACATACCCACCCATCTTGCTTTTTTGAAGTGATTCTCTAATACTTGGAAGAGATTGGTAATGAGCATTCTAGGTAGTAAGTTTTGGCTGATCCTTTGCGTTCCTTTTTGTCTCGATGTTCATTTTCACTGGCATCATATCTGGAGAATTTTGATGGTACTAGCACATAGAAAACATTAGAACCACTGAATTTAGTTCCAAAATATTCCAAAACATTTTAATGTTGGGATCACTATTCTATTTTTGAAGGGAAAAAAATTTTACTTGAGATCTACCTGCTGTATCAATTATACTTTATTTAAAAAGCATGTAACCTTAGGAATGTCTCCAGGAAGGCATTTCCTGTAACTTTACTGTTCTTGAAGTACCTGGTGAATCATGGTGTGGATTTTAGGCAAAGAAACAGTTTGTTAGTGAGTACTGCTTTGAACTAATTATTATGGTAATTATTTCCTAGTATAGGTGAAAGAACCCCCATCCAAGATTTTGGGGTAAAGTCAGAGACTGACATGCATAGATTGCCCTGGGAAGCCAGTGCATTTTGGTTACCTCGAGATTTTGGTGTGCTGTCCTGGGACCTGGCTGCCAGGGACTGCTTCAGGTTGAATGCCTCTCCCACCGTTTGGTCAATTTGGAGTTGCCTGGTGGGTTATGATGGTTCACTTTGACTCTCCTCATGTAATTATTAGGGAAGGGAGTTCTGTGGAAAGCTGAGATAGACAGCCTTCTTGTCCTTTGACCGTTGCTTCTGTCTCCTCCATCTGGACTATTGGTTTTCCATTTTCATTTTCTACCTGGTAAAATTTGACCATCTTTTTAAGACCTAATTTAGGTACCATTGTCTTCCTAAAGTTTTGCTTGATTCTTCACTCTGTGCCAATTGTGATCTACTTTCTTTGAATCTCTGCATCATGTTGCATTTATGGTAGTTATTTGTTATGCGGCTATACTGGAAACACAGACTGCTGGGGTACATCAAGCACAATGTGTCAGGGAAGACACACTAAGAAAGGAAAGATTCTAAGTGTTATAGCATTTCATTAAGTATCTAAAGATGAAGATTAAAACAGTAGTTACAATTTTATACACTAAAAATATTAACACCAGTTACTTAGTGTCATCAATATGCAGGCGGTGTTCACATTTCTTTCATTTCAGTTCTTGTTCTGTTTTTACAATTTGTTTGAATTAGGATACAAAGAAGTTTCATACGTTACATCATAAAACCCTCTGTTTTATTTTCTGAATCTGTAGACTCTATCTTTTTGTTGTAACTGTTCTCACACTATTGGTTTGTTGAAAATACCAAGTCTTTGAGAGTTCTCAGAGTCTGAATTGTGCTGCTGGCATCCCTGTGGTTGCATGTGTATTCCTCTCTCCCCTGAATTTCATGTAAATTAACTATATCTAGAAACTTTAGGCTGGCGCCGCGGCTCAATAGGCTAATCCTCCACCTAGCAGCGCTGGCACACCGGGTTCTAGTCCCGGTCGGGGCGCCGGATTCTGTCCTGGTTGCCCCTCTTCCAGGCCAGCTCTCTGCTGTGGCCAGGGAGTGCAGTGGAGGATGGCCCAGGTACTTGGGACCTGCACCCCATGGGAGACCAGGAGAAGCGCCTGGCTCCTGCCATCGGATCAGCGCAGTGCGCCGGCCGCAGCACACCAGCCATGGCGGTCATTGGAGGGTGAACCAACGGCAAAAGGAGACCTTTCTCTCTGTCTCTCTCTTTCACTGTCCACTCTGCCTGTCAAAAAAAAAAAAAAAAAAAAAAAAAAAGGAAAGAAACTTTGTAGAGTTCAGACTTGAGCATTTTTTAAAAGACTTTATTTATTTGAAAGGCAGAGTTACAGAAAAAGAGGGAGAGGCAGACATAATCTTCCATGTGCTGGTTCCCTCCTCAGATGGCTGTAATGACTGGGGCTGGGCCAGGCTGAAGCCAGGAGCCAGGAGCTTCCTCTGGGTCCTCCATATGAGTGAAGGTGCCCAAGGGCTTGAGCCATCCTCCACTGCCTTCCCAGGTGCATTAGCAGAGAGCTGGATCAGAAGTGGAGAGCCGGGATTTGAACCAGTGTCCATATGGGATGCTGGTGTTGAGGTGGCAACTTAATCTACACTATAATGCTGACCTCTTGAATTTTTTAAAGGCAAAATACTAATTCGATATTGTTGTGTGCTTCATTTACTTTTTTTAAAATTTTATTTGTTTGAAAGGCAGAGTTATAGAGAGGGAGAGGCAAAGAGGGAGAGAGGGAGAGAGGGAAAGAGAAGAGAGAGTAAGGTCTTCCATCCTCCGATTCACTCTCCAGATGGCCACAACAGCTGGAGCTGCACCAGTCTGAAGTCAGAAGCCAGGAGCTTCCTCTGGGGCTCCCATGGGAGTACAGGGTCCCAAGCACTTGGACCATCTTCTACTGTTTTCCCAGGCCATAGCAGAGAGCTGGATCAGAAGTGGACCAGCCAGGACTCAGACCGGCACCCATATAGGCCACTGGCACTGCAGGTGGTGGCTGTTCCAGCTGTACCACAGTGCTGGCCCTTCTTGTTTACTCGAATCTTCAGCCTTATTCTTATTTCTATCATGCCAGAGATAGTGCTGTTACTGAGGCTGTCTGTAATCTATGTATTGCCAAATTATATGTTCATTGATTTCTTTACATCTTTCTATAGCTGATACTGTTAACCATTTTCTCCATATTGTTTTCTTCCTTGACTTTTATGACTACCTCTTTCCTACCTTTTTTTCTAATGGCTATTGTTCTGTACACACTGTTAGTTCTCTGCTAATCCTTTGATATTGGTAGTTCTTGATATAGATATTGCTATTGGTAGTTCTGGATTTTAGCCTTGGCCTTTTCTTTTTTCTCTTCTTGGTGATCTCATACATTTCTGTTGCTGTATTTTGTGAGCACCAAAATTGCTTCATCTAACTGAGTACCTCTTTTTTTTTTTTAAAGATTAATTATTTATTCGAAAGTCAAACTTAGAGTGTGTGAGTTGGATATCATTCCATCTTCCATTCGCTGGTTCAGTCCCCAAGTGGCCACAACAGCCAGAACTGGGCTGGACTAAAGTCAGGAGCCTGGAACTCCATCCAAA